TGCCAGTGTCTTAGTGTGCTTAGATGGCTATAACAAATGCTATAGACTGGGTAGGTCACACAAAAGACATTTGTTACAGTTCTGTGGGTTGGGAAGTCCAAGACAAAAGTTCCAGGAAGTATGGTGTCTGGTGAGGATCAGCTTCTTGGCTTGTGGACAATCACCTTTTTACTGGCCTTTTCTTGGAGTGCACTCATGGAGAGACAGAGAAAGAGAGAGAGATGGAGACAGAGATCCCTACTGTCTCTTCTTATAAGGGCACTAATACACTCATGACAGCCCCACCTTCATGACTTCTTGTAATCCTAATCACCTGCCAGAGGTTCTACCTCCTAATCAAATCATGTTGGAGGTTAGAGTTTAAGGATGTAAATTTGTGTGAAGCACAGACTTTCAGTCCATAACCACCAGATTATAGATTAAGTGATGTTTATGGTTTTTTCTTTCCTTATTAGTAAATAAGGAGGTTGAGATTTCAACCTTACAGGTCAAACTCCCAGAGTTTCAGAGAAGCTAAGACATTGCCAGTGTATTCTGTGCTGGAGAGCAGAGTTTGTTTCAGTCCCTTCTCCATCCCAATGAAGATGTGGAATGACCCACAAGTATTTCAGATCTCATTCCAAATTCCTAGATTGGATTGCTGACTTTGTTACTTTGTTATGGGACATTGATTAGGTAACTTCGCTATTCTAATACTCCCAAATCTAACAGGGTACCTTCTTTTCCATTGTGATGAGGGAGAGAATTCATGAATGTCAGAAGCTTACACAGGCTTGGGGGATTTGTAGTAGGCAGACAGGCTACTTCTTCCCAAATCTGCTCTTTAAAGGGGAAAATGGAAGTAAAATAACAAATTAATGAAATAAGAGAAGCTAGTAACTAACTTTGGTTGTCATATGGATTGAATTTCAGGAAGGAATCATGACGAGATCTAGGGTAAGAATATTCTAGGCATGGACCAGAGCAAAGAATATAGGAACAATGTGAACTCATTGAAAAGATGGGAAAAATGGCAAAGTGTCTGGTGTGTTGTGAGTAATAAGAGACTATTAAGGGATAAGAAGGAGTGAAGCAAGAATATAAAGATATCCCATCATGTGACAAAGAGGAGATAGATCAGCACACAAAGATTCTACAAAATGCAGAAAAGGTTGTCAGATATGTGTATAGAAGATGAGGTGGGGAAAGGACTGAGGGGATGAAGCAAAGGTCAGGAAAAGAGAAGGAAGGCAGCTTGGGTGTTCCTACATATACATTGCCTGCTCCTCTTGCTGTGGAAGAGTGAAACATTCCACTTTAAAGTATAACAAGATTTTTTTTTAAGTTAACAAGGTTGGAGAGAAAATATTCCATATGTTCAGCGTGGGTGAGTTTGTGTTGAAATTTTACTCTCAACTATTGCCTTCCTGGGTTTTATGAGGCAAAATTTATATCCTTGGTGATAATGGTGGCCTTTTTTTCACTTTTCATTTGTGTGTGTGTGTGTGTGTGTGTCTTTGGGAACCATGGGGATAGAATATTTCACCCCAGCCAGCAGCTGTATATCTTTCAAACAGTGGTTCCACAGGCCAAATCCTCCTCCAAATTATTTATGACTCCCATTGAAGCCAGGAGGATTCAGGCGCCAATCTTGGAGGTCAGCAATGGGCCTCTTTGTTGGACACAGGTCATCGGGAGACGACTCTGGCTGTGACTGCTGTGTGAACCTCCGCTGCCGTAGAAATGGTTATGTAACTTTAAACAGTGATGACATTTTGCAGAAAAGTGCTTTTTAATTGCTGTGTCTTCATTATTCTCTTTTGAAATTGCCTAGGAGATTCTGCCTCAGAGACAGCTTGACATGTTCTGAGTTTCCATTTTTAAAGAGCAGTCAGTTTTGTGTTTCAGCTGCTCCCAGAAAACCCCCAGCCCCAAAATTCATGTTTTCAGTAGCATTAAATGGGGTAGGTAATACTGCCTTTTGTATCCTTGCGAAACAGAGAAATGATTTGATGCAATTTTCTAAAAATGTTCTCCCTAAATTCCTTTTGGACTGGGACCAAGAATAGAATATTTTATCCCCTACAAAAGGGAGAAAGAAAATGATGAGCAAGCTAAAAAATAGGACTGAGAAGATAGTCTGTAGTGTTCCTTTAAGCAACAGAAACTTAACCCCAATCCATAGACCAAGTTGCCTATATGGGATTGAAATCAGCTAAAAATAAATTTTGCTTTGGAAGAGAAAATGGTGACACAGATAAAGGAACTCAATAATACATGTGCTGAAAGAATTGTACACCCGGTTTAGAAGGAACTTCACAGTTTGTTTTGTTTTGCCCAAATTTTTGGCATATGTATCATACCTCTGTACAGTAGCCCTTTCAAGTAATCATTCCATCTCCTGTGGACCCCTTGCTTATTGTATGCAGTTTATACAGTCTTACAGCAGACCAGTGTACAGCAGACCATCGCCTATCTCTGTTAGCGTGCCTACCATGTAGGTTACATATACACCTTCCTGAACAGCCTTCTGGTTCAATAACACAGGATTCTAAGCCCTCCTCCTTGCAGAAGCTCTCCAAATAAGTAAAGACACCCTTCTGAAAATGTTCTTCTTCTGATTAAATACCTACAGCTATTGTTCCTTCATTTGTCCTGAAGCTTCTGTTGAATCTTTAAAAATATAATTAGATAGCATCATCATCATTATCACTGTTGTCATCTTCAACACCAGCGGCAACAGCAGCCATTTCATCACTTCACAAATAGGAATTGATAACATTTGTTGTTTGCTTGCTGTGTTCTAATTTGTGGAGCTCTTTCATTTAGTCCTCTAAATATACCTCCGATGTAGGCACTAAAATATTCCATTTGAACATAAGAGAAACAGAGCACTAGAAAGAAGCTGAATAGTTAGTATCAGATAACTTAGGAGGAGCCCAACTGTAAGGGTGACCAACTTTTCACTGTGGGCACATAGTTTCTTGCTATGAAGCATACTGCAGACACACTCCTCATTCCCACAGTGACCCTCAGAAAATTGTTGTTCTTAGTTGCTGTACAAGAACAGTTGAAATGGTAGGGCTTCGTTATATATAATTTGAAGGAAAAAGAAGCAAAGACAAAAATCTACAAACACAGCTGAGAAGCAGAATGTAAAAGAAATGCCGGTTTATTCAGCAAACTTAGATGAGTAGGGTTAGGGGATATCCCTGAAACAAGATTGAGAAAAAGTAACAATCCAAATTAGATTAGAGTTCTCTTCCCTAGTGGGTAGTAAACAATTTCCCCCGTGTATATTGGAGACAAAAGCTATAAGCAACAACAAAGGTGGCAAGAAATGTCCCAGATCAAAGTACCTTAATGAATTAAGTAAGTTCAGAGTTGAAATTATATCTGGACATCATTGGCATTAAGATCCAGCTCTGCAGACATTTTATGGTATCCAGATAAATCCTTTTCAATCATTTGTTCTCAGGATTAAGACTTTATTATTCAAATTTAGAGAAATGATCAGAAAATGAGGTCAGGTGTGTTTATTCTATAACCACAGGCCAGCTACTTCCCCTTAATAGTTCTTAGTTTTTTCATTTTTAGAGCAGAGAAAACTAATCATCTCTGATGTTCTTCTTCACTGATATTGTAGTTTTTACGATACATGCTCTTATTAAATTATATCACTCTTGCCCTTGAAAACTACCAACATACATCCATGATCCACAAGATATAATCCATACAGCTGGGTATCAGTGGCTCACACCTGTGATCCTAGCTGCTCATGAGGCAGAGATTAGTGGTTCAAAACCAGCCAGGGCAATAGTTTGTGAGACCCTATCTCAAAAATACCTAATGCAAGATAGGAGTGGCTCAAGTGGTAGAGCGCCTGCATAGCAAGCATGAGGCCCTGACTTCAAACTTCAGACCCACCACAAAACAAAACACATTCCTTATTCTATAAAATAAAGTCCTTTATACACTCTACCTTCTGCCCCCTCTGTAATATATTTTTCTACAATACTGTACAACCATCTATTCAAGTTCATTTAATTTTCTAGAATCTTCCAGACACATTTATTCCATCTTTGCTCTTTTGCTCATCTTTCTATTTTTGATTTTTTATTGTTGTGCTGGGGGTACATTGTGGCATTTACAAAAGTTCTTACATCAAATATCTCATACTTGAACTCCCCCTCCATCATTCTCCTTTATCCTGCATACCCCCATTCCTTGAATAGTTTCAGCAGGTCTCATTTTTCCATTTATATACATGTGTACACAGTATTTGCACTGTATTCACCCTCCTGTACCCTTTCCCCCACATTCTCCCTCCTCCCACTGCTACCAACCCCACGTAGTAGTCTCTTACTTGCTTTTCAACCACACTATTTTCAACACAAAGTCTTTCTTCTGTACAAAGGTTTCTCTGCTACTCAAGCCTTGACCACATTAGTTATAGTCTTCTCGTATCCAATTGCCTTCTATGGCTGCCTTTGCCATTGTCCTATAAGGCTGTGTTCTGATGATATGTGTCCATGTCTACCCCTGCTGATTATATTGTAAACTCCTCTAGGGGAAAGACTGTGTGTGGTGTTTCTTTTTTAAATCACTATATGCCTAGTGCCTCGTTCGGGACTTGTTCTTCATAAATAGGGTTTATAAATATTTTAAGAAAGGAAATAAAGTAAATGAAGAAATAAGGAAAGGTAAACAATAATGTTGTGCTTTTTAACAAGAGTTTTCTCTCCAAATGGAAAAGGTCCATATTGGTCTCAGTGCTAATATAACAGAATAGAGTATGCAGTTCAGTGATGGCCAAGATCATGACCTGAGAAGTTGAATGGTGCAACTGGAGAGCTCACTGACTGTGTTCTCTCTGTGCCTAGGTACGCCCATACATATTTGGGTTCTAATGCACAGGGAGAAATCTCGCTACTTCAGATATCTCTGTATCACCTTTGGAAGCTGGTAATGAGATGCCTTTCTTATCCTTTCTGTTTTCCCTACTTGCTCTTCTTGCACAGGTCTTCAGATAATCTTCCCTCAGTATCTGCAAGAGAAGTTTGTCCAGTCGGCCCTGAGCTACATCATGTGCAATGGTGAGGGGGAGTACGTGTGCCAAAGCAGCCAGTGCCGGTGCCAGTGTGCAGAGGAGTTCCCTCACTGCAACTGTCCCATCACGGACATCCAGATCATCGAGTTCACGCTGGCCAACATGGCCAAGGCTTGGCAGAAGCTTATAAGGACCTGGAGAATTCAGGTAGAGAGTCTAACAATGGTATGGTATGAATGACCTTAAGCCAAATTTAGAAAAGGGACCTCATCTAATTGGAGTTAGGGAAGACATGTGGGGAAATTTAGTGACCCTACTGTGTCAGTTTAGAGAGTCTAGAGCCAGATCTAGTAGCTGACACAGAATAGGCACTCAATAAATCATTGCTGAATGAAATAATGAATAGCACAATCCAGTTTGTGGTCATTTGATGTATTGTCTCTATTGTACTCAGGTGATAGAGTAAGACCACACAGGAAGCCTCTAGAGAGTCAGAGGTAGTAGTATTTACTACTGGGTCTCTTTGTGTTTGAGTGTAAATGAATAAGTAGACACCCATACATGTTTATATGTGTATGCATATGCATGTGTGTATGTTTCTCTCTCTCTCTCTCAATATATTCAATATACATATTGAATATATATATATATTCAAAGAATTCATGGATTGTCAAAGCTGTAAGTCACTTTTCTGCTAATTTAGCTTTTTATGGTTCAGAACAACGAGTTACAGTGGATGAAAGTCAGTTATCCAAGGTCGTTAAGTAGGTAAGGTCTAAAGTTAGATCTCTGGTTCCACAGAGGTTTGAGTTTTGTCAGAAAGCCAGGAATTAATTATATAATCATGTAAATGATTATGCCACTTCAAGTGTGCTAGTGTAAAGAAGGAGGAGCAGCTGGAAGCAAATGATTTAGAGTTTGGGTCAATGTGACCATAACATCAAGAAAGGCCACATTGATAAAAGCAGAAGTCTGAGAACCTGTGATAGAGAGATCAGAGGGTGAGTATAGGCAGATCAATGGTGGGGGGGGACACAAGATAACTAAGAGAGAGATACCCCTGATGTATATCAGGTTGCTGGTCCCGGTAGAAAAATAGGAAGTGTGCTGAGAGACTGTGATATTTAGAAGGGAAAGCTGGAGTTGATCTTCAAAAATAGATTTCATAGGGTGTGATGTTAGGTTGACTGTAAAAGCTGAAGATAACAGGGATTGAGATGATATCTAGGAACCTTGTTTAGATATCCACATCATAGAATTTGATGGATGCCAGAATCCTTCACTGAGCAGGATCACCTTTGAAGGTTTAAAAAGAAGAAGACATACTCAGTTTCAGACATGAGAATCCTTGATACTTTCAAGAAAAGATGCTCAATATATACTTAGCATATAATTTTCACTCAAATATTCATTAACTAAATGGGCCTATGTAACTACATTAAAGTAAGGAGTGATGTTTCTGTATTACAGAGCAGGGAGGACAAGACTCAAAATCTTCATTTTCCCCAAGGTTACATATTTGTAAATGACAGCATTGGTAATGCAGTCTCTTATTCCAAATCCAGTGCTCACAGCAGCTTTTTTAAGGTATTAATTCTACTTTAACCCTCAGGCCTTAGTTCCCTCATCTGATAAATGAGAGTACATGTTTATGTTGTTAATATTTGAATTTATTTAAGTCTTTAGTCAAAAAACTGTTTGATCAAACAAAAATTTTACCTTGGAGCCACTGTGTACCACAGATAAAAGCATAGCTTCAATGGAGTGGCATTTAAAAATGACTGGTTTCCAAGAACTCTAAGCCTTCATATGGCTCTGAGGGCACAGGATGTATCAGGGATTCTGCTCTTGTAAGGTCTTGCAAGAGCATTTAAAAGGTGATGCTTTTAAGTTTCTTTATTGAAAGAAAATAGCCCCTTCTCAAAGGAAGGAGGTATAGACTTCCATTTATGCATAGAGACTAGGTCCTATTTGGCTAACAACAGTGAAGAGCCATCAAGAAATCCATGGTTCTCACTCATGGACCTGCCTCCATTAGTCTATTTAAATCCTGGGGATTCGTAAAAGAGAAAGGTCCATGATGGAAATGTATTGTGATGATTATTTGGCCTCAAACAAAACAGCATTTGATAAAATGTTCTTGCAAAAAAAAAATTCTACTGATTGCTGAAAAGAAGTATGCAGAAGTATTTGGGAACTTTAATGTACAATCCTAATTCCCAAGGAAGAGAAGCCACTTTGAGTAGGTGGGTTACAAAACAGAAAGCCAAGATGCTCGCAGAATAAGGAAATGATTTATAACACACTTTCTCTCTGTAAAGTTTACATTCCTATGTACTTATCTGTCTGAAATGGTTTTACCCATTAAGACAAATCCATCTACTCAAACATGCATCTGTGACTTGTGCTTATATTTATTCCTTATGTTCACTATCAGTGCTTATGCTTAACAATTCAGCCACAAGTAATTTGGAGAGAATAATGATCAGCCCACATTGAGAATCATAGACTTCTTGATGGCTCTGTAGTGTTGTTAGCCAAACAGGACCTAGTTTCTATGCATAAATGGAGATCTATACCTCCTTCCTTTGGGAAAGACTATTTCTTTTCAATCAAGTAGCTTAACACATCAACCCTTTAAGTGCTATTTTATTGTCAGATTCATTCATTGTTCATTGCAAGAACTGTTATTCCCTTTGAGGTGAGCAGAACCTTTCCTTCCTATGGAAGGAAAGTCAAGCTAGTAAGACAGCATAAGTCATGAGGGCCAGTCTCCTGCCTCCAGCCAGATCACTGAATAAATGAGTGCAGAGTTCTGAATTGTCTTGTGTTAGTAAGCTTCCTATTTCTGTGACCCTATACCTGAGATAATCAGCTTCAAAGGAGGATACATTTATTTTGGCCCATGGCTTCAGATGTTTCTGTCAATTCTTGCTTGGTCCTATTGCTGTGGTGGTACAATACATCATAGCCGGAAGGTGTGACAGAGGAGGCCTGTACACCTCGTGGTGGCCAGGAAGCAAAAAAAAAAAAAAAAAGAAGGGGCTAGAATTCCCAAAATCCTTTTAAAGACACACCTCAACTAGGCCTCACCTACTAAAGGTTACACTATCTCCCAACAGCATCAACCTGAGGATCAGGTTTTCAACTTGGGGACTTTAGGGAACATTTCTTATCCAAATTATAGCCCTTGTCAATTTTACACTACCATACATTGAGTATTTTCTATGTATCAGTAACTACTTAGGCAGATAGAGTCCTATACCACTCCAAAAGCCTTTGGATTACACACCATTATACCTATTTGACAGATGGGGAAACTGAGGCCTTGGAAGAATAAGTGTACCTACCATAACTGTTCAGTGATTGAGATGTGATTTGAGGATTGGAGGTATGGCTCAAATGGTAGAGTGGCAATCCCTGAGTACAAACCTCAGTCCCACAAGAAAAGATGTGATTTTGAAGTTTTGCATATCTGTATACAAAAAGGTGCCTGAGGTTTGCTAGGAGGTGCCTTTCTCAGTACCTGTTATTTTTCTGTCAAGATGCTGAACCTCAGGATTGCTCTTTGTGTTGTTGAGGGTTAAGTGTAAATACAAAATAAGAAAATGAAATTTGGAGATAGACTAGAATCTTAATTGTACCATCTATTGGCCATTTGACCTTGGGCAAATTACCTAACTTCTCTGTACACTAATTCTATAAAATGACTGTACTGAAAGTATCTACCTTATAGATTTGCTATAAAAATCAGTTATAAAAATCAAGCGCTTAAGATTTTGCCTGGTGCCTACTGAGAGCTATGAAACATTTTTTTAAAATAAAATGAATGTATACTATGTCTGAAATTTCCTTGTAGGCTTTATAATATGAAATAAAATTATTAAGCTGTGGGATTTTTAAAAATTCAACCACTGGTCTTTTATCCTGCAAAATGATCAACTTTTTAAGTTTTCAACTTTCTCAATAGTTAGGGGATGTGGGGCAGGCAGTGGCAGGAAGTGTTAGAGCACACAATAGCAGCTCAGGTTTTAGATCTGCCTTTTGTGGCTCCTTGACTGTGTTGCCTTCAGAAAACCATGTTCTCACTTTGGGCTTCGGTTCCCCTATCCTCCATTTAGAACAAGAAAGTTGAACTAGATAATTTCTAAGGCTATGTCAAACTGCAGTCCATAATTATGCTTTGAAACTCTAATATTACAAACTGAGGCAGAAAACTTCACCAAGGAGACTCAAGAGATTGTCATGCTCTTTTGCTGGAATTTCTAAAAATGCAAGATGATATTAGATAGTTCTATCATTGAACATCAAATAACACTTGGATAACCCACTGGGGAGTTTCGTCCATTTTAGTTCTCTGTCAAACCTGCAGATTACATCAAAGAGAGAGTTCCAGTTGGGTGCTAATATGCCTTTAACACCTCTCTAGTTCGTGCTAATTTCCTATATTTCAAAGTAAAAGAAGACATGAGGGTTTGGTCACTTAGCAGGCAACAGTATCTGACTAGAATTTATTAACATTGTTTTCTTCATATTTATTTTCACAGCTATCATCCTACTGAAGGCATGCAATAGTGTTTTTCTATCTAGAATTGCATAAAAATCTTTTCACTTTTTAAGGAAAAGACAGTGATTTGATTCAAAGGTAATAAGAAGCAGAAATGAGATGTGATCATTATCATAAAGGTGGCATTCCAGTGACACAGTTTGGAAAACCCTGTCTTAAACATGGATGCAGTATGCAGCATGAAGTTACCCTTCATGAGAAAGCAGTGTTAGGAGCAGGACAGGCTATCCAGTGTTCTATTGGCTCAGACAAACTGGTCTTATTTTCAGGTCTTTGCATTGACAAGTGGGGCTAAGCTTTAGAAAGGGTTTCAGATGGGGCCTGCTATACCATGCTTAGCCTTTCTCTCTTGGCCTCTGTTTCTTGCCAGATGAGTTTAAATCATTTATGAAGCGCCTTCCCAGCAACCACTTCCTGACTATCGGTAGCATCCACCAGCACTGGGGCAATGACTGGGATCTGCAGAACCGCTACAAGCTCCTGCAGAGTGCCACTGAGGCACAGAGGCAAAAGATTCAACGCACTGCCCGCAAGCTCTTTGGCCTCAGCGTGCGTTGCCACCACAACCCCAATCACCAGCTGCCTAGAGAGAGGTATGTGCTGCCACCACCTCCACCTCTGCAGGTGCCATCTGGCACCTGGTGTCAGTTAGCATACACTTGTTTCCTGCAGAGGGATATGGAATGCAGGTGGTGCATTTAGGGGTGGTAAGCAAGGCCTTGCATGGCCCAGATATATGCTATATATTATCATATGCTCTGTATTGTTTCTGGTTTCTCAACTATTAGCTCTAACCATATTGGATTTCACACTATTTTCCTGAATATACAGTTGTCCCTCCGCATTTATGGTGTCTGCATCCTTGAATTCAACCAACTTCAAATTTAAAATATCCCCAAGTCTAGAGATGATTTGAAGTGTATAGCAAGATGTACATTGGCCATATGCAGTAACTAATCAAATTTTATTTAAAAGACTTAGTACCCATGTATTTTGGTATCCATGGGCTATCCTGGAACCAGTCTCTTAGAGATACCCAAAGAGGCTGTACCATGAGCATCCACCCTCTGTGTTCGCTCTGATCTTGCTGACTGAAGAAGACCTCAAACACAAGCCACAATACCGATGTGGCACTATTCTGGTTGCTTTAAATGTACTATCTGCTTAATTTTTTTCTCGTGTGTGGGTGTTACTGGTATTTGAAATCAGAGCCTATTGCTTGCTGGGCAGGCACTCTACCAAATGAACCACTCCACCAATTCTTTTTATATGTTGGGTTTTTTGAGATAGAGTCTCATGAACTATTTGCCTGGGCTATATTTGAACTGTGATCCTCCTGCTTTCTGCCTTCTGAGTAGCTAAGATTACAGGTGTGAGCTACCAGCAACCAGCCTATCTGTTTAATTTTAAAATTACTCTGCAAAAAAGGTTTTCAGCATCCCGATCTTAATGGTAAAGAAATTGGATCAACTAATTAATCGATCAATGCATTTACTGAAGGTCATTGGTTAGGGCCTGGAATGGAGTAAACAAATGGTAAACTTACAGTGACAAATTTAAGGAGGCACTCGCTTGTTTGATCCTAGAGTGCAGGATCTTTACCAGAGAGCTAGTGCCTCCTTAGGTTGTAGTTCCTTGCTTGCTTTACCTGGTCCCAGCCCTGCCCTGGATGTTCTAGATACTCCGATAGAGATGGTAGAGATTACAGGTGTGAACTAGAGTCATGGCACACACCTTCTTGGACGTAAGGTTTACTTCCTGGGAGGGACACACAGTGAAGGATCCAGCATTCTAATGTAGGTCACTCATGACCCATTCTTGCAGGGATTTCTGATCTGCGGCTGAGAATTGTCTGTAATGCTGTCTCCAGAGTTTCTATGAACACATCACAGGACGGCAAGAAGATAGGTTTGGGGGGGTCATCATCCTACTTCAGCCAGAAAAGATCTTTCTTACATCTTATACTTGGGAGTCTTGTCTTCAATTTCAATAAAAGGAACGAAATGACTCTTTAAAGAATGAGCCAAGTTAAATTCACTTAGCAGTTTCTGTGTCAGTTGCATAGTTGTGTATGTGTAAGTACTTATTTATTTATTTATTTCCCTATTGTATAGTTCAGGAAACTGAAACTTAGAGAGGTCAATTAATTGGTCCAAAGCTACAATGGAAATCAGTGGTTCTTAAATGGAGGTAACTTTGGCCCCAGGGGATATTTGGCAATGTTGGAAGACAAATTTGATCATTACAATAGGGGAGATGATACTATTGAATCAGAAAGTCCCCCAAATAAAGAATTATCTGACTTTGGAGCTGAGATTTAGCAAATCTGATGTAAAAGGAAAAGGCAATATACTTCCTAAATCTGTAAATCCAAACTGTATCCTTTTAATCACTCTTCTCTTCTGGAACCTAAGACTTCAAGTCCCCTAGCAGCTCCTCTCTCCCTGCACCTTTCTCCTCTCACTTTTCTTAATGACATCATTTTAATTTAATTATACATTAAACACTCTCCCTCCAAATACAGTCACATTCTGAGGTACTGGGAACTTAGGACTTCAGCATATGAATTTGCAGGGAAGGTTGAATAATTCAGCCCATCACCTTAAAAGGTAGATTTTGCTCACATCTTTAGGTGATAAGATTATGCATCTCCAAGGGCTGACCAAACTGGATGCAAATCTGGTTGAGGAGGGCAATATTTACTATTACCAGACATCAAACAGATATACCTGTCAGTTTTGTTGAATGTCACCTCAGAAAATGGAGTATAAAGTCCAAGTTTAAAGACACTGGATAGGCACGTTTGTTAAGTGTGAAAAGACTCTCCAAAACAAAGGGATCACTGGACATGCTAGACCTGGGGAAGACTCAGGAGGAATTCCAGAAGAATTGCTAGATAGGCTTTAGAAAGGAGAAAGAAGCAACAAAATAGGGGAATGGGAAGATCACTGCACAGTCAGGATGTCAGGATTTCTGGTCATACCTTATCATCAGCAATAAACTGTATGACCTTAGACAGGTCATTTTTTTATTCTGACCACAGGTGTCCACATCTGTTAATGTGTCTCTGTTCCTTGCAAGCTATCATGAGTGGATAGCTAGAAATGTCCTGTCACCACTGAGACCTTCATGGACTTCATATATTTATATGAAATAGATCAAAGAATCCTCTTGCAATTGCTTTAAATGAGGCAGAGAGGGGGGTCAAGGGAGAGAGACTGTTGGGGTAATCTAACTAATGTACAATATAAATCTATTTGGAATTGTCACAATAAATTCCCTCTGTACAACAAATATATCCTAATAAAAATATTTTGTACCTATCAAAATACAAATATATGTAAACATATCACAATATATTTATATGTAGCATACCTAAATATATGTATCTAGTTATATAGAGAGATATAACTTTTAGGTTTAGGATAACTATAGATAAATGTTAAAGGAACTGGTTGCAGTCATTATCATTGGGAAGGGAAATTAACAGGTATCCAGGTCCAGGATAAGGCTGAAGGATATCTCTTTCACTCTACATCCTTTTATTATATCCAAGTTTTCTAATATGTTCATGTATTTGGATTACCTAATCTAAGGTAAAATAAAATATTTTAACAAAAAAAAAGAAAGAACTCTCAGTGTTACCCTCATCCTCCCTAGAAAAGAAGGCTTGCTCTAATCCTTGTGTTCCTCCTGCACTTACCTGGAGGGATGTCTAGAATCCACCATTGGCAAGTCACTCAATTATGTTAATTTAAGGAGTATTGAATTCTGGGATGGGGTCTGGGAGCACACAGATACTAGGCTCTGAAGCCTTCCCAGGAGAGCTGAACTTCCAGCCTGGCTGCTTCCTGACATCTGAATCAGAGGCTTTAATGAGCATTTTTCACACTGGCAGGGCACCTTTCTGCCACAGAGCAGTGTCAGACAGTTGCTAACACTGGGAACCTTAAGTCACCTCTGGCTGAGCAAGTTTGTATTTGCAAATGAACTGATTGCTCAGCTTCAATTTGTCTGCTTGTTGAACTCTGTAGGAGATGAGTGCTCTGAGCAGGTGCTATTGCAACAGGTGTCACTGAGAATTTTACTTGTCTCCCAGAGGCTTGGTGTTGAGACAGGACAGGAGAGGATAGAGCACAGCATATTGGTTGCACACAGGTGGGTCAAAATCCTGGTTCCATCTTGTCATTTTCCAGCCATAAGGTTTTATGTAAGTATTTGTACTTCATTTGCAAAACTGGATAATGACTCTTGCCTTTGGGTTAAGTGTGAGGATTAAGATTTTAAAATTTAAAAAGCCTAGTAAAGTATCTGATTCAGTTAAAAGGAAAGTGTGTGTGTGTGTGTGTGTGAGAGAGAGAGAGAGAGAGAGAGAGAGAGAGAGAGAAGAGAGAGAGAGAAGAAGGAGGAGGAGGAAGAGGAAGAAGTTATTTACTATATATTTCCAAAGGTCTAGCATCTTAAAGGAATTTAGTAATTTCCTTCTCAGTTACTATTGTTATTTTATAGATGAAGCAACTGAGGTATAGAAAGATTAAAAATATCCCCAAGGTCAATAAATGTTAATCAATTTATTGTTGTTTAAAAGAGATGTTTACCTGTAAGATTTAGTGAGAGGTCAACTATAGATATTTAGAGCTTGGCCTCAAGGCTTGCTGGAAATTTAATATTGGGCTGGAAGGCAAAGTAATTATTTTGGTCATCTATTGATGCAAAAACATTTACCATAAAGCATAGTGCCTTAAGACACTGTATTACTAACCCTCATGATTCTGTATTTGATGCAGCTGGGGATTGCTCACATTGTCTGGGGCTGGTGTCTTTGGGGTTTGCCTAGACTGGACCTCCAGAGTGGATCAGAGCTGGCAGCTGATGCTGGCTGGCAGCTGGGAGCTCAGCTTAGGCTGTCAACCACAGTGCTTACACATGCCCTCTTATGTGACCTGGGCTTCTTACAGCATGGCAGCTGGGCTCAGAAAGGAGGGCATCCTGAAAACAAAGGAAATGTAAAATATCTTAAAATTTAGCCTTCTACTATATACTGTTGACCCAAAGCCTAACCCAGACTCAAAGGGCTAGGGAGTGGAGGGGTTGTTCATTGTGGGAGCTGAGGAGTCTTTTTCTTTCTTGCGATCAGGTACATAGGAAAAATTGAGTATAATGGGAGATAGAGGGAACTATATCAGACATAAGGAAAATAAGATTAATAATAAGATCAATAACAACAATAGTAATCACAAAGATGTACAGCCACTTAATCAGCAGCTATTGTAATAGAGCTGGCTATGCAAAGTTTCTGTATTGAGACTACTGAACTTTGTCACCTTATGTTGTTACTTTAGGGCAAGTTACTAAAGAAACTAAAATTGAATCTTTCAAGCTCAGTTTTCTCAACTGTAAAATGGAGCTAATAATAGTGTCTACATCATAGGAATGGTTTGCTAATTAAACCCACATAAATGATTTCAATCAGTGACCTGCACACAGAAAACACTCACTACATTATGCTTACTTTTATTCTTTTTTTTGTCTAAACACTGACATTTTGCACATAAAGTCCTTATCACGTAGTGATCACCTGGTGAGATTGAGT